TTCCACTTTAACATTTATTGGTGCAACCCAATTTAGTAAATTCCTGGTTTGACGCTGGCTTACCAGCAGCATGTGGAGGATTTCCACACACAAGCTTTGTGATGAATTCGCTTCTCAATCCTGGAGAATGTAGTTATTCATCTAGAAACACCTCTTTAAAGCAAATTAATGAGCCCCTTTGCTCAGCCTGTGACTCCAACGATACAGCATCTCCAAACTAAATACTTCCAACTATCCAAGAGGCAGCATTCCCCTTTCCCTCCTACAAATAAACTGAGCACACACTCAAGACTTCCAAGATCATCTTCCAAATAAGAAAAAGATATCAAGAGGAGTCACTCATTTTTATTCCCCTCTTGCATTGCAGTGACCAGAGTAGAATTACAGACACAGCAGCTCAAGGATATAGTAACCTGAGGACACGAGGATCACACAGCTGCGCATTCGAGCTGCTGTCCATATGACAATAATGTCTGTGGTGAGTAAAATAGAGCAAAATGCAGGCTGTGAGGAAAGAAAGCAGGAGGAGGAGAGAGAAAGCAACAGGCTACTTCCATCCTGACAATGCAACGCAAATCAACTATTCATTCATCCTTCATATTTTGTCTCCTAAAACACTGAATTCAAGGTACAGGAGTTTGAATCTATCAAACAAACTTGTGAATTGACCTCATGAAGATGTACAGTATGTCAAGTATGCATGTCAACAGTTGGGGAAACTCAGTTCTGCCAATAAAGACGTGGATCAACCGGATGATATTCTGAAATCTCTGTCTGAAGCAGAAAAAGATTTACACAGCAGAAAACATCCCACAGGCCGACTCTGGGAGACATTGGTGCGCAGACACTGAGGCTCTACGCAGCAGCAGGACAGAAGGTATTATGTACGTTAAAGATGGTGTATTTTACTCTCGAGTTTGAAATCTCCTTCCCCCTGCAGCATAAAGTAATAAGCCACCTGGATTTTCTGCCACAGGATCCCCTCTTCATAACTGCCTGCATACACCGTGAATTTAAAGCAATGCGCTCCCAGTCGCACACTAAAACATGTGCCTGCAGACATCAAAACAAACACGTGCACATGAAACACACACAAATAGAAACACAGGACCAGAAAGTCACACATGTGCACACAGACACAGCTAGTTATGTGCTCTGGTCCGGCATTGTAGTGCTTCAACAGCCCATAGCTATAGTGGAACAAATCTAAAACAAGACCACTTATGAAAACAAATTTCCTGCGTTTATTGTTTTAAAATGGTCATTAATGGATCTTATATGGCCTGTGTATTCTTCCTGTGGCGATAGACTGTATAGGTAGCTGCGAGCTTCCTGTCGGATTTATTATGGCTTTAAAAACAAAACGCAGGCCCGAGGGGATGTTGGCCCCATTGTGGGTCTCCATCTCCCAAAAAAAAAAAAAAAAAGCTGGCTCTCCCCCGTCTCCTCCTCCAGGTGGGAGAGCAGGATGCTGGGCAGGGAGAGCGTGCGGCCTCCCCTCTGCCTCCGAGGTGAGAGGCTGCTCCCCAGACGGGAAGGTTAACACCGCCGGGGTTCGCACTAAATGTAATAATGTATTTCTCGGCATATTAGACATTAAACTGCCGCAGACAGCGTGGGAGTATGATTAACCACCGCAGAACTTTGGAAATGCAATAAATACAGAAAGCAGTATTTTATTTTTTTTAATACTTTTGTCGGTATGTGTACATGTTAAATACGTCAAGGAGCCCCGCTGCGAGCATGCTCTCTCAATTATATAAACACACACAAACACGCAAATATGGGGGGCCCGCGTTCCCGTTCAGTGTGTTAATGAGCTCTTATCTGATGGAAATTGATCTGACTGCGCAGCCAGGGGTCTGACCTCTTGGCCTCATATACACCAACACCAAAGACTTAGATGAGCTGCACAGACCGAAGGAGCTCAGCCCTGAACATCGCAAGACACAAACTTAAGGACACGCAGCAGTAGTTTAACTTAGACATTTCTAAATGTACTGATCAGTAAATGGAAAACTGCATATGGACAAGGGGTTGACCATTGGGCTGTTTGTGGCAGCTTGTGAATGGCAGTTGTGTGCGCTCGACTCCCAGGAAGAAAAGCAACAAATGAAAGAGTGGTGGATAAACTGCATTTTTTCATTAACAAAATAGTCAAAAATCTTTTCTAACTATAAAATAGTCGCCTGAGAATCATCAAAAACTGTTTAAGTAATGGTTTTACGAAGTAAGACACCATTTTTCTAGATTTATCATCATTTTTTTATTTGCTTAACTGTCTAGGAGGTCATTCCCACTGAAGAACACGTCAACCTTGAGTTTCCTAAAACACCTCAAAGTGTTATCTCAGCAAACCGGTGATGAGCTGCGTGTTTTTCACACCCGCCCCTGCAGCACAGCTATCAGTGACTGCTGACTGAGGAATATTAATGGGCGTCTCTGGCTGGCATTTACTTTTAGTCCCGTGCCAAAGTGTGGGCAGACTTTGTGCCCCCTAGCTGGTATCAGACCTGTTAAACAGCTTCTAAATGCAAATTGCAGAGATGACAATCCGCCCCGCCTACACAGGACACACCGAGCTCCCACATGATTCTGATTAGCCGAGGCACCGTCGAGGTGTTGTGTTTGAGTAACGAACGCCTGCGTGCATGAACGTCTGCATACGTTTGTGTGTCTGCTGAAGGGAACAGGCGGGTGTTAATTGCAAACACCTGAAGCTTGTAAGCAGACTTGGACTCAGTGACAGTTTACCTAAAGACCGCATCTGTGAGCATAAAAGCGTCGCAATGTTGCTTCCAGCTGAGGGGACACAGGAGGTAAATGTTTCTCGGGTCGCACACTATTTATAGACAGTGTTCCTGCTACTCCAGCGGTGACTGAACCATGGGGCCTTGCTTTCAAAAATACTTAGATTTTCACAAGAGGAACGTTCCGTCACTAGTGTCAACGACAAGTTCAACATCCTCAGTGGTTCCTGCTGCTTTAGTGGTGCTGCCCCCTGTTGGGCCCTTGTCCTCGTGCATGCAGAAAGGTGAGCACCCTGATGCGGAGGGCATAGTTTTAATGACAGAAATGCCACTCATGCTGTGTCTCACACACATACAGGCAGAAATACCTTGGCCTGTGATCCTGGTGGTAAGAGATTCAAGTTACAGGTGGTGAGAGTCGGTGCTAAAGGGAGAGGAGGGTCTCTTCTTACAGTGTCGTGTTGAGAGAGGTGCCTCCGTCGGCCCCTCAAAGGCTCCGGGACAGACGCACCAGCGGCCACATGGGACCACGATACCGACTGTAAACTCTCTCGCAAGGACGCAGATGAGATGCACACATGTGGGCATATCAGAGTTTAGATATACGCACATCAAAACACATTTAGTCACATATAGAGCACTTTACGTAAACACAGGCCCAACAGTGATGGCACAAAAAGAAAAAAAAAAAACATTTATTGGCCGAAAAGTCCCTCTTTAGAAATAAACACATTTTATGGAGGAATGTTAACAAGTCTGTATTGAGCAATCTAATTGCTGAGACATGTCCGCAGGCATTTAGTTGCATCAAAGCCACAATAAACAAAATAGCCTTTTGTTTCACCAAAATCAAAACACCACATCTAGAGAACAGAAACTGAAAAAAAAAAAAGAGAAAACTTTAAATAGACTCGTGAATATTTGCATAGCAGTGCCAAAACCGCTTGATTACGCAGCAGTTCAGTGAAATTGACAAGAAAATTGGACGTAACATCTGATACAATAATATCATCTAATGGAGTAATTACATTAAAATTCACTATCGGGGCAGTGCAGGATAATCCTACCCAAGCAACTTCTTTTTTTTATAATAGACCTCTAATTTCTCCTGAGTCATACTTATGAGAAATGCATTGAGTGTCGAAAGCAGCCAAAGAAACCACAGCATGAATTAGCCATATCACTGGCTCAATCACGGGCAAAGAACGAGAAACAACTTTGCTGACCCATCAGACAACACCAGACAGCTACCTTGGCAAAGTGGACTGCAGACTGGAAACAGAATGTGTTGAAAGTGGGCCAGAAATTCCACTTGTGAATGCTTTCACCTGTTCCTGTTTTTGCAGGGCGATTCACACCCAGAGACAAAAACATAAGAAAAGAAGAAGAGCCAGGCGAGGAAAGATGCCAAATCTACAGCTAAGCATCTTGAGAAAGCTGCATAAACTACTTCATATAGAAATATTTAGGACAAGAAATTGTGTACAAGCAGAGACAAGATTCCACTTGAGCTTGAACATCTTGATTGCCAGTTTCAATAAAACACACACATCCTGTTGCTGCAAGCCAAAAGATTTATGTCAGTAAAGCACCACTTCCCCTTCCATAGGTGCTGTATAAGATGTAAATTCTTAAACACACAGCTGACCAGCAGGTGACTCCGACTGATGTGCATGCTTCCCCCTCTCAGCATGTTACATCGCACCCAGTAGCGACTTAACGTGAAATAAAAGAAATCTCATTTTTCTTTAGTTCACAGGCATAATGGGGGACTGTGTGCGTGTAACATGATGAGGATCACACACTGTTCTCCACCCCAGGAACTATCACAAGCCCTGTAATGAACACCACAAGCCAAACGTGGCCAATCTTGGCACACGGCTGCTCCATCTATTAAAGTGAGCATCCCCCCCCACTGACGCAGAAGTGCAGGGCTCAGGCTGGACGTCCCAAACCCCATCGGTCTGCCGTCACAGTATGGGCCCTATGCAGGCTTACAAGACGTAATCCTCCACACAGAATAGGAGCACACACACACACACACACACACACACAGACACAAACATACATTTAAAGTTCAGGGGGAGGGGGATGCCAAAAGCACCAGCGGCAGACAGACAATCAGGTTTCACAAGCAAGCTTAGACATTAACCTTTACCTGAAATAGGGTTCTGGCTTTTAGTGTTTTGTTTGTTTGGCTTATGTGGTTTGGAAGGTGGCACTAACGCTACAAAGAGCAGAGACGCGTACCTGGAGGACAGGAGCACTCTTGGCCAACATCTCTAGCTGTCCGCAGTTTGGGCATCAGAACCACCACTTTCTGCAAAACACACAAAGAGGAAATTCCAATGTCAGATAAAATGTCTGTTCTAGACATGAATATCGTCTCAATGCAAACCAGTGGAAGTTATAAAGCTCCAATTAGTTTGCTTTCAAAACGGGGACAAATTGAAATCATTAAGCAAAAAGAATCATTAAATGTAATGTTATTTAAATGATCTCAGTGACTACCAATAACATTTATGAGAGCATAGCCTCTCTCTCCCATTACATACAGCTCTACAATGAGAAGACTTTCCTTAATTTCTTCTCCATGTGATAAAATTATAGGTTGGTGTCTATCATCAGTGGTTATGTCACCCCATAAAGAGCTGGAACCACAAACTAATTGGCCAGCTGCATGCATGTTTGATCCCTAAGGTCGTGCATTAAGAGGAACTGATTTTAGGGGGAATAATTAGGGTACAACTGCCAAAAAAAAAAGTGCCCACTCTGTGCATTTCCAAACCTCACTGCACATGTTCCCTGTTATTACGCACAGTTTACGCACAGGCGAGTGGCGACTCTGTCAGAGATTCACAAGCACAGAAAAGGGATTTATGACAATCAATTAGTGTCAGTTAGATCCAAAATAGTTGACACGTACCTCGTCCACGAGTTTCCCTATTGGGGCGCTCAGCTCTGAAATTAGGGTCCCATCCTCGTTTAGAAAAGTCCTTTGCGGGGGTTGGAAGATGGACGATTTGTCCATCTCCATCTGCAGTCGGTTCTCCAGCTGGTACGTCTTAACGCTCATCAGAAGACACACGGTGATGGAGCTCAGGGACATCAGCAGGCACAGCGCGATGGGAAAACCTGGCAGCCACCGCTGGACCGCAGACTTGGGGGCACACTGACACACCGGCTTACTTTCTCCGATAGAGTCGCTCGCTGTATCCATGTTGCGATCCAGCGCGTTAAACTCCACTTAAGTGAACAGAAAACTACCAAAACAACTTATTGTGCAGATGTTGTTCTGCAGCAAATCTACAATCTGGCTCCGTGGACTGACTAAAGCAGCACCTAACACATTCACGACAACAGCACAGTGGGCTCTGGGTTCAAAGCGCTGCCTTAAATTAGTCTTGGAATCAGAGGCAGCAGCAGTGCGCACCGGGTTTACGCCAGGCACAGATGGGAGTAATCTGGATGCCAACTAGAGAAGAGGCGCCTTCTGACTTGCAGGTCGCTGTTTCCTGTTGGGGAGTGTCCCACATGGATGCGCAAGTGCAACTACCAATGGATCCAGTTGTTTGACTTCCTAAAGGTTGCACGTTCGACTAGTTGAAAAGCGCCCGCCCTGCTGACCACGTGGGAAGCTGCGGATTGACAGCTGTGAATGACGCTGATCTGGGGTTGGCCAATTTGTGATCAGTCAGGGACCACATGTCATTCCACTTATATTGTTTGTCACCATAGTTTCTCCAAATCCACAGTCGACTAAAATGTATAGAAAAACGCGTGCATAGGCTCCGTGATGCTTCCTTGTCAATGCGATTAATTGTGAAAGCTGCAGAATATTTTGTTCTTTTAAGTTAGGACACTTTAGATTGGAGGTCTGTCGTGGTGTAATCTGAACAAAGAACGCACCTTCTGTACTATCAAGGATGCTCTGGACGGAAATTCTCCACGTAAGTGAGACATAATTCAAAACAGGGATCCAAACAATCTCTTATCAAAACTGTCAAGACAATGCCACTCTATCCTCGTGTTCCCAGTTTGTTGAATCCTGAATGAACAGTAATTTTAAACACTCCTTCTTTCCTCTACTTCCACTGTAGACATTTACAATTAACATTAAAAACCCAGCACAGGAGAATCCTGAAAAGACACCCAGATTTCAGGTTTCCCCACTATTGTTAGGCTGAAAAGCTAAAAACTAGAGTGAGGTGATTAGTCTTGACAAGCCTTCAGTGTCGATCAGAACCTGCAGGAGGTTGACTCTTGCAGTAACAGAGGCTCTTTACTGCCATCATGTGGACCAACGCAGCTAAAGCACAAATAAACACTTATTTCCCCCCGACACACACAAAGAGCACAAAACAAGTTCTGGTGTCAAGTTTATTGAAAATGTATGATACTGCAAAAGTTACATTACCAGTCAGTGAAAAAACAAGATATCTGAACAAACTATTTACAAGGATTTTCTGCCCCCAAAGCTTTTTTTTTTTTTTTTTTTACATTTGCAATGCTGAATAATTTACTGGCGTGACTGATGCAAGAATTTCTCAATCTGTTCCATTACCCATCACCTAGTTCACAATGCACAGAGAGAACACTGAAAAAAAAAAAACTGGACTAAAATAAAATAAAATAAATTTTGAACAGTATATGCTTCGAAGCTACAATTTAAATTACAACATCAAATAAATAGACATCACTCAAGGGATGTAATCACATGAAAATATGCAATAGGTTTTATTGCAACATGATGACTGAGACTTAGCACTGGCTTGGGGAGAACACAGCAAAGCAGGGCAGTGGACTGATACAGTCAGTTAAGGTTCACCTCTCCTGGAGAGTCAGGAAGTAGCAGCTGGCACTGAGAACTGTGATGAATGTCATGGTGACAGCCAGGCCTTGACCGAGGGTGCAGGTCAGAGGTTTACAGGTTCAGGAGTTCAGTCTTTTTTGCTACTGCTGCTGCCGCTTCTGCTCGTGCTGGTGCTGCTTTTACTGCTGCCGCTTCTCTTATAGTAGCAGGAGAAAAAGGGATGTCGGAGAGCCTGTTCCAGACTGAGGCGCTTAGCTGGGTCGTACTCCATCATCCTCTCGATCAGGTTAAAGAGCTGCTGGTGGGCGTCACCCTTAGACACCATGTAATGCTGAAGAGGGGGGAAAAAAAGGACAGTCTCATTAAAAGACGTTATTTAACTAGGGTTCTACTTTAATTGCAGTTTCAGAAATACACTTATGACCTACTACAATAAACACAGAAGAGCCTTGCAGTATAGCATTTTTGCAAAGTTTGATTTGTTTACAAATGAGACTTTCAAGTGTTCACTGAACCAATTTTGAGGTAGCAGTTTATAAAGTTAATCAAACACACCAAGAAAAATACATTTGTGTGCCACCTCTCCAGAAACACTGGCTACTGGAGCAAACAGCTTCACTTAGATACATTCCGTTAACTCCAACACTCCCTGATTAACGGGCATGTTGTGCATTTCTCTTTGATCCAGTTAGCCTACACCTGAACCGCTTTGTGACCATCAGCTGAGCTCAGCGTCTGCATGCAACAAATTAAGAAATCTGTTACTATAAGTTGTGAGCTATATATACTGTTGTAACTTGGAACAAAACTTAAGCTTCTGGAAACTGAGGGCCTTTTGAGGAACTCAGGTCTCCTGTCTGAAGTGAAGTTGCAGGCAGAAAAGTCCCATTTTCACCACATGAACTTTTGTCAGGGTACAGGAACCTTTACAGGAACTCAGGGCATTTTCCCTACAGCGACCAGGTTCCAAAGTAGGTTCTGGGGAAATCATTGTAAACAACAATGACAAGCAAAAGGAGCAGTCCCTATTTTCTTAAATCGACAGACTGACTTGCCTAAAGTTCACAGGTCTTTAGAGTGGTGAGAATGCAGACAACTACTGGTGTGACGGAACCTTTCTGTTGCTTGAAAAAAGATCCTGTGACATCAAGTTCTAGGCACTCTGGGTGGAACTGTGGCTGAACCCCCAACAAAGTCCCTGCTCTTGGGGAGTACTTCTTGAAACTTAAGAAGTTACAGGGTGGGGCTTGCAGTGCCAGCATTTCAGTCATCACTGACAGACAACAAATCCGGCAGGATCTTTTGACAGAAATCCACAATTTAAAGGTCTACCTTAAAACTTTGTTCTCTTACCTTGAGAGGTTTGCAGTGTTTCCTGACGTATCTTCCAGCAGAGCTGTGCACATCCCAGTCCAGTTTGCAACGGTGAACATATCGTCGTTTTCTATACAACACAAAATTGTCAAGATGAATTCCATCAGTTACAAATATGTATTTAATTACCAATACAAATATGTAAACTTTAAAATAATAAATATGTTTCACAAGGAACAAATAAATTGGCTGATCAATGGATCATTACCTGGTTTTCTCCAGGAGGTTTGTAGGTATGGGGCCAAGGACTCTCTCCATCATAGCAAGATGCTCTTTACTGTCGTGTGTCTGAATGAGAAAACCAAAAAGGCCAGATGAATCAGTGCCGTAGCAATTGACAAGAGTATTTAAATTGTCATGCTCTCTACTGCCACCTACCTGGAAGAGTGTAGATCCAAGGTAGTACTCAATGAGGATACAGCCTACACTCCAGACATCACAGGAATGGTCCCAGCCTAAATCTGAAAGACACAATGTTAAATAACAAGTTACCCCTCAAGGATATGTCTAAAGCTTTAGTGCAATTCTTTAAAACAGCCACTTACCTAAAATGACTTCAGGAGCTCGGTAGTGACGCGTGGACACCACAGAGGTATGGTGCTCGTGATCATACGTGGCGTTACCAAAGTCAACGATTTTCACATCTGGGTTTTTCAAAGTTCGTTCATCTCGTTTCTGTGAACAAACACAGTCAAGAAACTCTCAGCCGTTGGAACAAACAAGAATTTTTGTACTTTTGCCAGCACTTTGGCCTGTGTGACATTCTCAATAAATATTTAGAACACTTACCATTTCACGGTTGTACTCCATATCATAGTCTGAATCTATGAAAAGGATATTCTCAGGCTTCAGATCCGTGTGAGTCAGCTTGTTTTTATGCAGAACTGAAAGACAAGACGAGCGCATTTGTAACTGAGCTGAGTTTCTTTTTTTCCCCCCTAAACATACAGGAACATTTTCACACAAACTACGTATGACTATTACTCACATTGCACAGCTCGAATGATCTGGTACGCCATGTGTCTGATGTGTTCAATGGGGAAAGGCTGAAAGTTGTTTTCCTTGAGGAAATCATATGTGCTGAGGCCAAGCAGCTCAAAAGCAATACAAACATGACCGTGGTAGTCAAACCAGTCCAGCATGCGCACACAAGCACTGAAAGGAGATGAAAAGAAAAAAAGACACAAAGTTAAACAGCCTGTATGCCAAAATAAACCATTTTGTATTTTCTCACTGCTCTGTAGAAAAACTCACATGATATGCAGTTACTTACTATTTTCTATCACAGTCGAGGGACTTCAACTGTTCAAGCACCTCTACCTCAGACATGGCTGCCTCACGGTAGCGGTCTATGTTTTTAATGATCTTCAGAGCCACGCGAGCCCCATCACTGAAACACATGAAATTTGAGATTGCATTTTAATACATTGACAAAATTTGAAGGAGAAGCCAGCAATTAAAAAAAAAAAAAAAAAGATTGTCAACATTAAACTAGTTAAGAGTATTTTTGTCTTGGTCCTTACTTTGAGTGATCAATGCATTCGACGACCTTCCCAAAGGCACCCTCTCCTAGAGTACACACAATCTCATCTACAGAAAATAGAGAGTTGAAGTTAGGCACACAGCACTGACAAAATGAAACAGTCCTTTTGCTGAGTTCACTGCCTGATGTTACAATGCTCAGTTAAGCTGCACTACAATAAAAGACTTCTGAACACTGACATACAACTCAATGCTAAGTATGTTAAACTGACGAGCAATATCTAACCAAAAAATTTAAATCTACTGGCCCAAATACTTCAGTCTCTATATTAATGTTTGGAAATAAAAACCAGACAAGAGAGTGAGAGACAAATGTGAACAACAGTAGAAAAAAAAGGTATATATTCTATACATCTCGCTCTCAGCATGTCTCCACTGTGATAGATGAGGTGACCCTCGTCATCATCCTCAACACTCCTGGATCTTTTCCTGCTCCTGCGGTGATGGCTCCTCCTCTGCACCGGACCCGCCGCAATCCGCCATCACATCAATAACCCATCAGTCAGCCAGCACCCGGCCACCACAATGCGACATCGTCATTCATTCAACCAGGCCAAGGGGGGGAGGTGTAGGGGTGGATAGATTCAGCCCGTTCAGTAACACCAGCAGGCGAATGGACGGGAGGACGGAGCAGCAAATTCAAATTCAGCCCCGTCAGAGAAATTGGCCGGCAGCCACCACATAGTGTGTGTTACAGAAGAAAAACATGGCAACAAGATTTTCAGATGAGAGACTTTCTCAAAATAGTACAGAAAAAAACTGAACTTGATTGATTTTAACTCTTGCTATACAGGTTAATGCTTTAGTATCACTTCCCACAACTGCCCACTAAAATCTCAACAAAAATACTGGGTCCACTTTTGTCTTGCAAAACTATAAACACTCAAAATCCCTTACTTCCTGAGCCCCCAAGTCCCTACTTGTCATTACTGGAAATCATGCTTTACAGTGAGGAGTAGAACACACAGAGATACAGAAAGACAAAGAGATGGGTGTTAAGCATTGGCTAAACACCAGTGATAATGACCCATTCGATTTGGTGGTATAGACAGAGGAGGGGGAGAGAGGAGAAGGAAGTTCCCGTACCGAGGACGACCCGTGGTGAGAGGGGCTGCGTCTGCGCCTTCTGTCTCTTTGCTTGCGGCTACGGCTGCTTCGCCTGCTGCGTCCACTACGCCCAGATGACTTGCTGTAGTGGTGCCAGTCACGGTCTCTGTCCTTGCAGGTGCTTTCATGACTGACATCGTCACAGGCCATGTCCAAACTGTGATCCTGAGTGTGTTCTTCACGAGCGTCCAGCCTTTGGTTCAGACTGCGGGTCTCCAGGTAGTGCCTGCAGTCAAACAAAAGATGAGACACACAAGTCAACAACAAGAAGCAAAGGACGGTCACGTAAGGAACAGCACAGTTCCTTGTCTGTGATCAAGCTTGAAAGTGAAGAGTGGATGGGATGGTGCTAATGGACCGCCTATTGCCTGACACTTTATCCCTGAGCCTTTTATATAAGATTTGTAATTAGCAACATACTGATTTAGGGCCACCAAACACCCAGCATCCTGCTCATTAAGAGCCTGAAGTTCAGAAAGCAATGTCATAACAGATTACGGCACAAATAGTACTTTTATGAGTCTGTAAAAGTCAACATCTAATGGCCCATATTTGGGTAACTTTAATATTTATACAACCATCTCCTTGGCAACCCAAAGCATTCCCTCCTTAAAAAGCATTCAACTTGACAGAGAGCCACATTGGCAGAGTAAGTGTGAGGCATTGGAAGTTGCTAAAAACTTTTCAGCACTTTTGGATGGTGTGTAATACAATCTGCGACTCCACACCTGCAGATCTTGGCACACTAGCAGTTAACACCTACGTAGTACCATTTCTGCCAAAATGAAATGCAAAGATTAAAAAAAAAAATTCTTTTAAGCATGCATTCCTTACATAAAAATGCATTCCCTATATATGGCTTTCTCTATAAAGTCCCATTATTTTTTTCATTAAAGTTGAAGAATGTTTCCAGTCACTTCCAGCAAACTTCCACCCAGTAGGTCATGTTAGCAGTTAAGCATCTAAAAAAGACCAAGAAACCCTTAGGGCCTTAGCACCCTGGTGGTGTCAGTTGTCTTCCAGGAAGAAATCTGCCTCTCTACAGAATTAAAATTAGAGTAGATCTGGAAACGTCTAATGTAACCCCATTGGCCATAAAGCATGCCCACAAAAAGGTGGATTGACAAAACACTGTACAAAACTTTGCTAGATGATCTGAATCTGCAATTTGGCAATTCTATAAAGTAAAAACAAAGTACAGACAGTAAGATAAATATCTGTGAGGCAGTTAATATGGAGTCAATGAGTTAACAAAATTGACGCCTTAACAATCCAACATTAAATTCTGAAATCTAGCAACAGTATTTTGAACGATCGGTCAAAACAAGCAGGCATTTACTAGTTATCTGCCCAGCGAATCTGTATTGGTCCTTCTTTAACAAAGCAGAAGTGGATGGACCTAGTAATAATTGACAGGATGTGGACTCTAAGCTGTTGCGCCTCAGTTTAAAACTGGAGTTGGTCAGACAGCTGAAATACCAAGTGCAAGCCAGATTTTGAAAGCAATCAACAGAAAGAAAAAAAAAAAAGAACACCCCCTCCCTTCAGTTCTCCCTCTAAAGCCACGCCTCCCAAACACATAAACACACACACCAAGTACAGCTCAAGGACTAATCCACGAGCGAGAGTTCCGGTGGTAAGAGCAGCACGGCGCTTTAACATTACCTGGTCTGTAAAAACAAAACCGCTACCTCATCATATTTGCAATATGTTTGGTTCAAAGCCAATATACTCTAACATTAAACAACATCCATTTATTAACACCTGCTCACAACTAAGCTACAATACAGACAGGTAACAAAAATATCACATAAATGTGAAAACTGACAGATTTGCTATGTTTAACTGTTCTTGATCAGTACATCACCATGTAATGATATATTTCGACAACATCATCAGGAAATGTTTTATAAGTTTTCCATTAATTGTCCCTTGTATGTTATGATGCAATGCTAGGTTTGCAAACAGTTTTTTTCACAAACAAACACTATTGAATATGAGTTGAGTTAAATTTTGAGAATACCCAGGACATCAGGTGAAACTGTCACCTTCACGTAATGCAGTTGTTCATATATTGTTCAACTCAGTTAAATTTGTACTCAAAAAACACAAAACCCTGTAAATAGTCGTAAGATCTGAATAAGTACTGATATATACCCCTCGTATGCCTTGTGTTGATGGTGAGTTCTTCTGGACTTATTTTCTCTTTCGCTGCTGTGCGAATCTCGTCTCCTTCGCTTGTGACACTCCATTCTCTCTTCCCAGCTGTACTCATCAAGCCAGACACCTGGGGAGCGCATACGCTTTGAGTGTCGCATCTAAAACAGATGGGAAAAAAAAAAAAATTAAATGACAAACTGAATTTCAAGGACTCATAAAAAGGCATTTATTCCTGTTGTTTTTCAATGTTACACGATTCCTGTGTGTTGCCACATATCAAATGATTTTCAAAGGTTGCCCCTCCCCCACTGCAACAGACTAAATATCATGGATTACATGTGGTTGCAGTCAGCTTAAATAGAGCTGCATGGAAAGATAAATAACATCCGCTGAAGTGGAGCAACAAATGTCAATCTAGTCAGCATTACCTTTGATACAAGTTGAATTTTAGAGACTTTTACGCGGACTTACAGGATTATTTTGGAAATGTATACATTCTGAACTACTGCTATGAAAAAAACACGCAGGTTGAAAATGCGACCTTCGGCCCTAAGAATGCACTCGGAGTTCGCAATGTTTGCACGACGGATAAACTAATCATTACTGAAATATAGTAATCAGCTAAAACGGTCAGCTAAAAACAACATCTTCTTTTATCGCTTTTAAACCAATTTAAAACTTTTCCTATGATTAGCTTATGACGTTAGTCGACGAACAGTGCAGTGTAATACCTGCTACACCTTACGTTAATAACAGGAAACAAGTCAAGGCCAACTTGAACGTTTGGCTCACGTTGGCCTTGACTCGACGGCCTCGTCGTTCAACAACAACTCCGTGACAGTGAAGGCCTTTAACGGCATAACACCTTCTACATCAGCTCCCGCGTTTCATCACTTCCATTTGTATAACGCTTAAAAAACTTCCCAATACAAATCGATATCTTTATTTGGTATTTTGTTATAATCGGTCAACTGTTTCGAGGCGAACTGATAATCCAAATAGCTAATGCTAGCTGTTGTTAGCTTGTTGTCGACAACTCGAGCTGCGACGAAATAGATTAGTCACCTACACAACATAAACGCCACTGTGGCTAACTTTAGGCACTATATAACGTGTGCCATCCAGCTTTAAGTGGTGACTGCCTGCACTGTAGAAAGATGTGCATCAGCTTGCCTGCTTTAGTGATATTACTTAAGGAACTAAACGCTCATAGCTAACCACGGCTAGCTCTCCACGTTAGCATCTGCCATGTTGGCGAGACGTCGAATGTCGGAAAAGCTAACTTGATAACAGCCGACAGAGCTGCTACACACCAACTGTAGTTAACGGATGTATTTCTTTATTAGTTACGACAAAAGAAATGGCTTTACCTTTCTTTAACAATTCTGAGGTCCGAATGTGAAGACCTAACCGTCGTAGGACAATTTTGAACAAAGAAACTGGAAAAACGCTTCCGACTTGTCGTCTTCAAAAATGGCGACCTTCCCGAGAATTCGATGAAACGTTCTTAAACAAATTCCATGACGTAACCCACAATGACGACGCCCACTGCTATGACCTTTGGGGAATTGTTGTCCTGAGCTTAGCCTGTCAGGCACAACCAGGCAGCATTTCCCCTTTAAGACTGGATACGCCAAATACTAACAAAACAGACTGATTTTGTTTTTCTTTTTTGCGTTTCTACAGTGATCAGTTCTTCTGTGGTTGGTTTACAGGTGATGAATTAAATTATCTTTTGGTTATGTCCTTTTTGTATTTGCGTTTTATATTGGTGTACACGAGGTATGTCTAAGTGGACGTGTAGTTTTCTTTTAGTCCACTTGATGAACACTTACTGCCTATTGACTTGCAACAAAAAAAACCTTTAAAAAAGTCTCTACTTGTCAGCGTTTACTGTAATGCACCAAATCACCACATCATATGTCCTCGTATATGAGAACCTCCTTGGCAATACAACTGATTGTGATCCTGAAAAGGCTCCAGAGCCGCTTCCTCTGCCTGACAGTTAAGACTCAGGGCAAAAATAAACCCACACTACCCGCGTTGGCTTGTGGGTAATAAGACATGTCTGCTCCCTGTAGGTGAGAATCAGCTCACCTAAATGTGATAACTGAGTAAACTCAAGGATTTTTGGATTTTATGGGGTGGATTGGTTTAAACAGCCACCGTGAAGATGTCGGAAAACACCCAGAAGGAGAGCGCGCCTGGACACGGGCTCACCAGGGATGTGATTGCGGAAATGTTGATGAAGAATTTCCAGAAACTGCCTGACATCGATCAGAAACTTTTTAGCTACGGATCGCTGTACCTGGGGGGAAACGCCGGACTAGCGGGACTGATCTCCAACAGTCTTTACCGCAGAGCTCTGAACGTGACGCAGGCGCGGGTCTCCACCATCCTGCCGATGGCGGCGCTGCCCTTCCTGACCACATGCGCCCTGTACAACGCCACCGTGTCTAACCCGCTGATGTCCGGGGACCTCCTCTGCCCCACCTGCTGCATAATGCGAGGCGCGCTGGTCGGACTGGTGGGCGGCTGCCTGTACCCCATCGTGCTGGCCTTGCCTCTGAACATCGGCCTCGCCTCCAGGTACTCCACCACCCCGATGCCGGAGAAGGGCACCATGCTGCGCTTCAGCATGGAGGTGTCCAGACCGGTCCTGAGGAAGATGAGGGCGGTGATGCTGCTGCAGGCCGTCTTCGGCAGCTACCTGGGCACAAAGCACTTCGACATTTACGCCAAACTTGCTGAGATCACATTTGGACGTGGCGAGGAATTACGTGATTAAAATGCACTGAACTGATTTTGTTTGTTTGTTTGTTTCTGCATTGATATAAAGATGATTCACAGTTTTACATGACATCTATCCTGAGATTGTTTCCCCATAAATAAAATTAAATGTTGCTTACCTTTTTGAAATTGTTTGCTGGTATATATAAAACCAACTGGCACGGTGAAATATATAAATACACATACATAAGGTACATACAACACTTTTACTGTGTTTTTCTTAGATTTTGCCCCTTTTTTAAAATGCTCTTATTAGTTTTCTTTATTCGTCTTAATTTTTAATTTTCTCTCCTCATTTTTTAAAACTTTTTTTTTGACACAGTGCTTGATGCTTTGGCAATATTATCAGCCTGATATTAATGCCAGTAAAGCATGTAGAATTGGATTAAAATGGAGAAATCCAGTTTCATGCATTATGTGGATAAAACTGTTGTCCAGATTGATGTTCTTTAAAAGGAGAGGTGAAACAATTCATTAGTTGCTCTGAGAAAAAAAAGGCAACAATTCTGACAATTAACTGTCATTTAAAAAGCTGCAGATTTGTTGCAGGTCTCTGCTTTACTAAATTTGAAATTCAGTAGCAAGATATATAAACAATTTGATCAGAAATTGTGATGTTTCTGCTACCTTAGTCATCATTATTTATCTCACATTCAAAGTACAGCCCAAGTGCTTTCTAACAGAGAATTTATCCAACACATTTAAATAGTAAGACCCCACAGTGTGATTTATGATGTGAATTTACATGAGTGAACTACTTAGAAAGCTTAAAAAGCTTGGATAAAATGCTAATTTATCCCACTAAATAAAATTGTAAAGTTAAGACCCTACAGTATTAGTAATTGTGGAGGTTTACCTGACTAATTCAAACATTAAAGTTAAGATCCTAGAAAACTATACTTAGAAAATCCGATGAATCTAAAGGTTCACTATGAGCAGCATGTTGCACACACAGTGAAGCAGAGCAGACCTCCTGCAGGCTCCTGTAGGGTGGTAACATAATACAGACAAAAAGGATTATAGTATTAAACGGCAATGAAATAAAAAGTTAGCTACAGCCCTGTTTGACAGCGTGCAGCATGGCTCTCTTGACTGTAATGAACAGATTTCTGATTAACTTGTGTAGTGAAAGCTAATGTAAAATGCTCCCATGTAAATGAGATAAAGACCGACTGAGATAAACCTTCAAACAGGCAGGAAAGTTAACATAATCAAACCGAGCACTCTCATGAGCAAAAATCAATCACAGACGGTCAGTTTAGCATGGTTTACTTTTATTAAAGGCTTTTTAGGAACCAGTCACAAATTTTGCAGTGATGTAAAAGCCAAAAGGTGTGTCTGCTTGGCCTCAACACCCCCAAAAAACAGAACGCATTTCACTCCTTTAACCGCACACAGAAATGTATGTGTAAGCGAAAAAATTTAAAAGATGGACTCGGCCATCCGGTAACACAGTTAAAAAGAGCAGAGAACCGGTGTCATGTAGGCGATTGTCATTGAGACCACATGTTCAGCACAGGCAACGCTTTGTTAAAACACGTCTTCACCTCGAACGGCAGATTTGACATCACATCTCTCCACGATCTTACTTTCTCTGGGAAATGGGTTAGGGTGAAAGCAAGTTTACCGATGACAAACGAGGAGGAGGAGGAGGGGGGGAGAGGGATTAAATCAGTCTGTTATAGAGAGGGAAAAGGTGCTTCTTAAGAGAAAACACTGACATCAATTAATAAAAGCAAACTGAATAAGACTGCTTCTTAAAAAGTTTATAATTACACAAACAGTTCCTGCTCCCTTCTTCTTCAGAACCCCCAACCCAAAAATGGCTCTAGAGTTACAACAAAACTGCCAAAAAAAAGGGGAAAAAAAAGCTCAGTGACAATCCCACAGAACGACTAAACAACACATTTCATTTCAAGTCAAAGGAACCTGAATTGTCATGACAACCAGTGAATCATATGGCACAAGTTTCCCTCTTTATGTTGTAGCGAGACAGAAGTCCCCGATTCGCCCTCGTCCCTCCACAAAAATCACTACAAAGTTTGTGTCGCAGTCTTTACAAGGTGGATACGCTAATGCCCCTTTTGAAAAACAAAAACACCTGTCGTAGCATGCTGCCGGACTTCATATTCAGTAAAGGAAAGTTACAATAAAAACTATACATCTGTCAGCACAGAAAATCTCCATAAATATATCAGACAACTGAACGTCAGTCAGAGAGAACTTCCTGAAGAGCAGAAAGATGAGGGGTAAATATCACCTGTACACAATCTACACCTGGCCTGGCTCCCTTTTTGTCGAGCTATTACTGTAGTTTTTCTTGTATTAATGGCACAATACATTTAAAAGGAGTAAACACGTTTTTTTGTTTTTTTTTAACAGTTCATATTCCCCACCCGACACTTCCCCCTCCCCCCAAAATGAAACACAATAAATAAAAACGAGCCACAAACAGGTTTCTCCAGTCATTCCCGTGCAACACAAGACGGCGACAATATGATCAGACGTGAATGTATGAACACCTGGATCACACACACACACACACTCGCAGTATAAGATGAACTGGTAAAATGCACAAGTTGTCTTTTGTGTTCCCAGATATACACACAGTTGCCATTCCTTCAATAACCTATAAAATATGATAGCTGATATGGGCTAGCCAGCGCCCTTCACATCATCTCATGTTTAGTTACAGTACATGACAAGAAAAAGGGAGGAAAAAAATAAAAGTTAAATTAAATACCTAGCCAAGGCTTCGGACTAAAGGGGAAGTGAAAGAGGGAGAAAAGGGGGAGAGGAGCAAATACAAAAACAACAACCAACATCAGTAGGAATTTCATCTTATAAAGTGGGTTTCCCTGTAACTGTACTCCCTATAGTAGTAAACATCTTCACAGAGTAAACACACATCGAGGGGAGGGGGATGGAGAAGCTGCGTCCCTCTCCGACACACTGTAACCTCATATCCTGCAAAGGGATTTTTGCTCCAGTTTCTTTAGCTTAACATTTTCACTTCACTTTTCTAATGTGTTCATTTTTTCATATTTTTTTGTTAACACTCTTCTTGATGAATCCTGTTCATCCTGTTTCTTTTTTTGTTTGTTTGTTTGTTTGTTTTATCACCATTTCTTCATAGAAAAACACCTAAGTACCAGCTAGGTTCCTTCACAGTTCAGTTTAGTGCAAAGAGAACACGCGTCCCCTCGTTGGTGGGAGGGATAGCTGCCGTCAGCGCCTCATGTCTTTCCCAGGACGTTAGACCTGATGGGAGAGAACAGGTTGATGAAGGAAGCTGTGCTAAATTTGGACTCGACAGCGTTTTCTCATTTGACGTGTCCTCACCTGAGTGCTTTCCATCTGTCTTTCTCTACCTGGTTCTCTGGACTCTCACTCTCGTAGGATGCAAGATAGAGTCCTGGGGAAAGATGAGAAAAGGAATAAATGAGTTGAAGTCAGTACAATAAATCATCAACTGTAAGGAAACCTGTGCAGGAGCACAGTGGTGCTTTGAACTAAATGCTAAAGGTAGCAGGTTACTATTAGCAATAAATACAAAGTATGAGAATGTGTTTAGTTTTGCAGGTATTTGGTGAACAAAGTAATGGAAAAAATCTTGATCTATTGATGGTGCTAAATGGAAAGTTAGGAAATCAATTAAGTTATTACAATTCAGCCAACATGAATGTAAGATAAGACTGACCTTACATGAGTACGTCCCCCTTTATGCTACTTCATTTTAACATGTGCTACATTTCAAAGGCAAATACTTTTTACCTCACTCCATTTACCAAACAGATGTAGTTAGCAGTCCCAATTTTATACTAAACTTTTACCAACTTCTCCGATAGACAAAAGTCAGAACTGCTGGTTAAGTTAAGTTAAGTTAAGTTAAGTTAAGTTAAGTTAAGTTAAGTTAAGTTAAGTCTTCATTCATCCTAGAGTGGGAAACTGTTTCAGCAGTAAAGAGGACAGTGCAAACATGTGAGATACATGAGTAGAAAAATTAAAGTGAAAACAAAAATATACACAAGTACAGGTTATTCAATACATGGACATTCAGATTGTACAGATTCCTCTGGATGTGGAAAACAACAATATCAAACACATCAGTGGTATTGCACAGATTCCTCCATAAGCAGAAATACTGATAAAGAAGTACTACTATTGCACAGATTTGATCTATAGTGCACATATTTGTTCATAAGTAGAAAAATACTGACATTGCACAGAGTTTAAAAAAATATCTGTACAAAATTTCAATATTTGTCGTGAAAAAAAGAACAGTCAGGGAACTGCGAGGATCATCATCAACATTCTTCATCTCTAAACTAGGATATGTGTCCAAATTTTCATGCACATACAATCAGGAATTGCTGAGATATTTTAGTGTGGACCAAAGTTGAGGACTGGATGCCATTGCCATCCATACAGCCTGACGAATAATGAAATTTATGTGGCAGGTTCTCACCATCCTCGCTGAAGATGGGAGCAGTGTGGAGGTAGTGTAGGATGGCCCGGTCCTCCTCGAATGGACACTCCACCTGTTTCCACGTCATGAACTCCCCAACCTGCCGTGCCAACTCCACAAATTTCTTGAAAAGCAAACAAAAAAAAAAAAAAAACACAAAATATTTGACTAATTGTTTTAAGGCATATGTTAAGATTCAGAATAAACGAGGCAGACTTTGGAGAAAAGGGGAAGTCTCACCTCAAAGTTGACGTGGCCGTTGGGCAGCCGATTGGCACATCCTTCGTTCAGGAAATAAATGTCTTTTATCAGCAGACTGAAGAAGGGAATCACAATCTGAGGAGAGAAAACAGGATGAAGTAAACACAAATGTAAAGATTAAAAAATCCCCGAACCAGTGCCGGCGTGCTTTCAGAGTGACAGCAGCGATGCGGTGCAGAGCCTCACCCTTTCTCTGTTGCTGTTGGCAGTCTGAGAGCGATGGGCGGCCCCCCGCAGGGCAGTCCTGTAGTTGTAAAAGTTCCCCGTAGGATCCATCTGATGCTGTCAAAAGCAAACAGCAACAAGCAAAATGCCATCAGTTTCATGTTACCACCTGTCTTGGATTTCTCAATCAGTGGAGAGTTGAACTGTATTCACCTCAAGAATGAAAAACTTGGCAGTCTTGGCTTTGCCCCAGGTCTTTTTCAGACGTGACACGGGACTCATGTTCATGCCAGCTACGAGAGAACACAGATTTTAACTATCAATACCAAGGCAAACATGGGAATTATTAACTGCAAATATGCTCAGATGTTGTAACATAAACAACTCACAAATGATAGCCATGAGGGAGTTGAAGTTTCCGATGTTGAAACACTCCCTGGCCACGTCGATGAAGAACTCGATAACCTGGGCCCTCTGCTTCTTCTTCGCTGGCTGCAAAACATCACAAGAAATGAGTTGTCTTCATGATTTAGTTCATTTTTCACAGTGAATCTTATTTCTCTCTCACTCCACAGATGCATTTACAAACCAGGGTGCAGTAACACAAAGTATCCACTGTGGGGCAGCGACGCTCCTCAGCCATTTAACTGCCTTTAGCTGCTGCACTTACATTTGTTTATGAGAATGAGATGTTACTACAATATTAATAGATACCTTTCCCAGGAATTCACTTTTAGGAAATCAGAGAATACTGGAGAACTGGAGCTATGATAAATAATGATATAACATATTCATCCAAATAAACTGTGCAGTGTTTCAGTGTTTTATGTTTCACAAGCAGAATTCAGGGATATAATGTCTCCTTGGGATCAAACTCATGTGTACTTCATACTGAAAATGCTTTTAATCAGTGAGTGTCTTATTTCGCAGACGATGTGTTTCTGATGTTTCGAACACTTTTCATACTCTTCATTTTTGGCATAACCAGTATATTTTGTGTGACCCTTTAAATTGCCTCTAAAGTCCGGCGTCAGAAGCATTTTCCACTCACCATGCAGATCTCTGTAGCTACCAGGTAACACAGTCTGTTGAACCATCTGACATAAGCCTCCAGGTTGGTGGTTTTCTTCTTTTGGTCACTGAAGCATGGCTGCCGATGAAACACACACACACACACACACACACACACAAGTTAGGATAGGAAGTGTTACCATTGGGAATTCTGCTGATACTAATTAGCTTCCTATCTACAGGGTGACCCCCCTATGTGAGTGGAAATGACAAAGACGGCGAGCTGGGAGCGGAAACGACAGGTTCAACGGAGAGCATGAGAAAATAGCAGGACAAGGGCAGACGGAGAGAGGACGAGTTGAAGAGACGGGACGCCGAAAATGAGAAGAAACCGTAGTGAATGAGTGACAGCGGAGGAAGAGAGAAGAGTGAAAGCATTCAACAGTTATACAGAAGGGGCAGATGGAGGACTTGTGTGCCCGCTGCACAGCATGTGATAACACAATGCTGTGCTGTTTGACGCATTTTGGCTCGCTGACCTTTGTTTGACCCTTTAAGAAGCAAATCCTGATCAGACATTAAACTCCAAAAACACAATATACAAGGATTTTCTCTTTTTTTGTTGTTGTTTTTACTGTGACAGCTCGTCTCAAAATCTGCTTCCCTCCAGATTTCTAAGAAAATAAAGGACCTCTGGACAGACTGCGGGTTTTGCAAAACAACAAAGAATTAACTTTGCAATTCTTATGTGTGCACTACTTACGAAAATAAATAACAATGTGCTCCTGTGTTGATCTGATTTGATCTTACAGCGGATCAATAATCTGATCTTAACGCTCACACGGAACAAAATGATGGTGATTTAAAGACGTAATTAAAAAGAAAGGTTTACCTGTGTTCCATCTAGTGGGTCTTTCTGAACAAAGGCCTGGACAAATTCCTCCGGTCCGATATGACTCAAATGTTCCTGGAAAACACACACAGTCATGTTTTCAGCGCTTCAGGACGTTACACTGACTTGCATTCATTTCCTATACGCTCACCCTAACTGTAAATACTACTTTCCGTAACCTGCAATCACCCCTCCTGTCGAAATGCATTCGTGTCCCCACAACATGCACAAGTACACACACACAGCCACATACACCAGTGGGGATAGCCCCATTAATAATTCTTTCATTTCAGTAATGGAAGGCAATCAATAAGGGGAAGTAATGACTCATTGATGTGACTCATTGGTATCATATTTCCTCACAGTGACACTTGAGACAATATTCACTTCTATTAAAAGACAGCGGCGCGGTCACATACGTGTGCAAATCAAAATGACTCATTGGACCCGTCGCAACTCGTGACACAATCCAAAACGCACAAACACGCATAGTAGCAGAAGGCACAATAGCATCCTTTTCTTAATCAACGTGTTGTCAAAAACAGATTTAAAAGAAAGGCAGGAATGTGTGTATTGCACGCGCTTGTCTATCTCTGCCTTTCCCCTCTCCTTTTGTGTGTGTGTGTCGGAGTGTGAAGCTGTCAGGTCACATATATCCACAGCGGTTTTATCCCCTTTGTTTCAGGCCTCAGGCGCATCTCTGACTTGTGGGGTGATGTCACCGCTCAGACAAGGGTACAAGCCCACTCAGACACACTCGCGCATAAACACAACCACCCCCAGATCCACGTGCCCACATCAAGGCACACATGAATGGACCGAAGGCACGGTGCGAAAGACACTGCAGAGATGCTTTGTTCAGGCGCGTTTTCGTTGCATTATTCCCTTTGTTCTTCCTTTTGTGGCACTGGGTGAAAAGCAGTTAGTGCCAGAATAGCTGACAAGTGATAATCAAGGTTATAGTACAAAAAGATTCGCAATGTTACAAGATCACGATGCTGAATTATTCTGCACATTTTAGTTTGCTATTGTGCCTCCCACCATCTTCCCTTTGTTCTTTTAAAGTCATTTTCTATCACCCCCTCTTCTTCTGTGTTCTCCATCTCCTCGTTTCATGTCTTTCGTTCCATGTTTATGTCCTTGACGTGGACGGAATCTCCACCCATGCTTCACCTTCTTTCTCTCCACATCCTTTTTTTCCCCCCTCTCCTCCTCATCCATCCCTGTTATCATCTCTTACCCTGACCTCTGTCTAACCCACACTTCTCACCCTCCCTCCCCCATCCTCCTCCTCACCAGCTCCACGTGGGTGAGCTGCTGTGCCAGTGTGTAGGGGTCGTTGCAGATGGAGAGCATGTCTTTCTGGATGGGCGGAGGCTTGGTCTTGAAGGCCACCAGCTTGTCAGAGATAGAGGAGGCGTTGAGGGAGACCTTGACAATGCTCTCTTCCCCCTGGCTCATCAGGGCCAGCCTCTGGCTAAGTTTCTGCAGCACCTGGTTCAGGGTTTTCCAGTACGCCTGGAGAGGAGAGGAGAGGAGAGGAGAGTAGAGGAGAGATCAATAACAACTTTGATGAATTATTTATTAATGGTTTTGGACAGTGATAGGCATCACTCAAAAGAACTTCTGTGTTGCTGGGTTGTGAGCACTCTAGTTGCTGCTGAAACAGAGAATAGAACTTTTCAATGTGTCCTTTTGTTCAACTTCTTTATTTTAGAAGTAACAAGTAACTTAATTTACAATACCTTACATGAGTGTTCCTACTTTATGCTACTTCATACTAGAATTCTCTACTCCTCGACGGAAAGTGCTTCCTTTTTTCCTCATGTATCAGACAGATGTAGTTGGCAGTCCCGATTTTATACTAAACGTTGATCAACTTCTGTTATAGACTAAAGTGCCAACAGGTACATAAAGTAATTAAAAATTTGCAGGTGAGACAAGACAAGACAAGACAAGACAAGACAAGACAAGATAAGATAAGATAAGATAAGATAAGATAAGATAAGATAAGATAAGATAAGATAAGATAAGATAAGATAAGATAAGATAAGATAAGATAAGAT